TGATCAGGATACTGTTTTTTGTAATAAATGTGTAAGTTCTTAATGTTATTTATTAGGAATCTTTTTTGCTTATTTTGTTTTTCGTCATCCATAACAACACTAACAGTATTTTTTTCATTAGGCATAATTCTGGTATTAAGATCGTCTTCGTAAAACCCGTTAACCCTTCATACAGTTGTTTCCTCAGCGGAAGCAACAGAAAAAGCCAATACTCAACTTTCTTAAATTTTTAGCTTTTCGTACCATTTTGTATGATGTCCCAAATTCAACTGCAAGCTTCCGAATACTACAGTATTCAGAAGCAATAGTAAGTATGCTTACATACAATGGATCATTTAATGGCAAAAAATTTATTTTTTAGGCCATTTAAAATCTCATTTAAATCTGTATGTGTATCTGTTTGTAAATCCGTTAAGTCGTTTGAAACAGGAAGTACGTTGGAGTAAAATGATTCTTAATGAGCTTTCGTATTACTGTTAAAAAAAATTGCATTCTCATTGTTCTGTGCTTCATTGTGATGTCTTCTCCATGGTTCTCAAATTATAGATGCGTTATATACATCAGGATAATCTTCTTTGATTTTTTTAGGGATTTTCAGAGATTTTTTCTAACGTCTCCTTGGAGGCCAACTAGATTTACACATTTAGCTATAGGATATTTTTTGCAGGCGAAGGAGAAGCCATTTTTGAGAGCTTAATGTGATCAAAATATGAATTAAATAATCAAAGAAGTAAAAAAAAAAACTGTGATGTAAGATTGAAAAAAAAAAAAGAAAGAAAAAAAAAACATGCATTGATTTCTACAAATTACGACTTTTTTTACTAGTTATCTTAAAAAATAACAGCCTCAACAGAACTCGCCGGTGAACACTACCTTCTAACAATCAATCTGTTGTCTGACTATTTTATGAAGAATTTTTATATACTCATCGACTATTACAAAAAAAAAAAATGTACCTAAGAAAAATTCACCGTGAAGAAATACTAGTAAAGGACTTTTCCATCAGTTATTCTGGAAATAATAGCCAGCGAAGAAGCACCATTAAAAAAAGGTAACAAATAAAAATCTCATGAACCAGCGTAAAAATGGCTACCAATTATAAAATTGCAGAAGAAAAATATTGCTGATTGAGTGAACTACAGAGTATCCTAAAATGGTCTGTTTAAAAATAATTTATCGATACAATGTATTCAACAACTTTCTTTAAAAGACCTGTCGAAAAATAAGTCACTGATAGACATTTTGAAACATTTTAAAAATAGAATTTTGAGTTAAAAATGATAAATAATCCATTGACTTAAATATTTAAGAAATATTGCAATTTATGAAAACTCACATTTTAGACGTACATAAAGTTTTGTTGGTACCATTTATTTCTAACTATCCAAATTGTTTTTATGCGACATTGTAATTTAAGCAGGATTACGTGATACATATAGAAACCCTCATCTTAAATTTCAAAAATCAGATGCTCTAAATTGTTTTGACGTAAATATAGTTGTTTGACAAAGATCTCATAACATATTTCAGCTCCATCCTCTTAAACTTTATAAATCTAACATTGCAATCATATTCATTAATAGAATAAACTCTTAAAGACTTAGTTGCGAGACTCATTTAAAGACAATCATGTGATTAAACTCTATTGATACGGTTTCCAATAGCCACATGACCCATACTAAGTCCGCTATATTGAATTTCGAAATTCTAACCTCAGAATCGTTTTTAACAATCCAAATAACTCCTAGGTAATCTTGCTAATTATAAGCAGAATTTAGGTTTTTATAGACAAAGTGTTGAAAAACTAGCGATGGTGATCATTCCTGACCGCCATATTGAATCCGCAATACTGAATTTTTTAAAATGCAACATTACTTTTGATAGTAAATACTAAGACGATTAATTTGAGCTCTTATTCGGCCTATTTGATAAAAACAAATTTTGGGGACGTCGTGTCATCTGATTAACGTGAAACGTGTCATAGATATATATGCCCGCGCGCGCGTATGTGTGTGTATGTACACTTAATCCATCGTCCTCAAACAGACAATGTTTTACCATTGTTTTTATTGAATGTTTTGATTGTATGTTTTATTGTCAAGGACACAATTTACAAATGTAGATAGTGGTTGTTTGGAATGCTGATGGATGTAAAAACTCGAGATTAAACAAATAATGATAGTAATTTTAGTATACAAATATTGAAACTTCAATTTCTTATGCTTTAGTAATTGAAAGATAACATTGAAAAAATTAGCTACTATATAGTTTTATTTTTTTTTTCTGATAGCAGCCTTCAAAAACTTACAGTTTGCGGTTTATTTTTATTGTTATTATTTTGGAAATTACTATAATTCTTTTCCTACTTTGAAAAAAATTTTAACAATTTTTAGTCCCTTAGCCCAATTAAGCATTGGTAGCACCTCTTTTTAGCTTTGCTTTTCTCTCCTGCAGGTTTCATTACATCACGTTTTGTCTCTTGAGATAGCTAGATTTGTAATAGGTGATTTTTTGTGGACCTAGTGATCTCCTTTATTAAATGTGCCGTAAAATTATTGGAATTTTGAATTATCATTCAGTAAAAGAGGGACGGTCTATTTCTATCAGCCAGTTAACTAAGTTTTTTTCTGGCTGCCAGATTTAATCTTATTTAAGTACTTTTATTTTCTCTGTTAAAAAAAATGTGGTATCTATAGGTTGTTTCTATCTTAATGTCAAGCACGGCACTGGTAGGAAAGGGATTTGAGTGACGACAATCCATTACAATTAAATCACTGAGTGCAAACAAATATGTAATGTAAGTTCAAACGTGATCGTGCTTTTGCCTGTTCCACTAACTAACACTACAACTTTGGCATAGGACTTTTTTTTCTTCTTATCTATCTACTCTTGCCTTCTTAATTCACATTTTTGTATCCATTAACTGACTGTTCGCTACCATTGCACTTCCACTTTAAATTTCACTTTTTGAGAAGTGATCATTTATACTGACTTTTTAAAATGTTTTTTACGATTTCTATTTAAATTACAAGAGTGAGTCATGTTAGCCGCGTTTCTTATGTTTTTAGAGCCTGACATAATTCAGTCGATACCGTTAGGCTTCAAAAACTTGAAGCTTTTTTCCTTGGTATCCTTGTTTAAAAGAGCTGGAGATTGTATCTCTTCTCTTTCAATACTGTGATTCAGGTGAGCTATGTGTTAAAGCAACTCACAAGGTTGAGAGGATAAGGTAGTACATCACAAATAGTGGGAGTGGTTGATAAATACTACTACATATTTTGTTATAAAATGTTACAAGGAAAAGTGTTTAACTCTGTAGCTTTAATTAACAAAGTGTAAAAACTCATGTTAAATATGAGATAGCCCTTCCGACGAACTGTTAATACAACTGCTCTGCGTTGCTGTGTTACTCTTCATGTACATGCTATCGTCATTGCCATAGTTAAAACCAAGTTAGTAAAGTCTGTGTCTGGAACTTATAACCATGAGTTACTAAGCCCCTGTATTTCTACAACTACAGCCTAAATCGTTGTTTTACTGTTTTCTCATGAATATAATGACTAGAAATCGTAATATATTATTACAATTAAGACGCCTTCTTGCTTTTCCCTTCTGAAAATATACCCCTAAACCTTCTTTATAGAAATATATTACTTGTGTATACATTTGTAAATTATTTTTTTCATTCTTATATTCTTGAGATATTACAGTAAAAATGCTTCAAATTTTTTTTGGAAGAATGGCTCGTAATGGACGTCCTTACTACATTCTACGAACCTTAATATTTTTGTACTATTTAACATCTTGCCTTCATCCGATTCATGAGTATCTATTATATTCTACTATTCACGTGATAAGATCCTCGTTATTCTCACAAGTTCCGTAACCTCCATAAAAAAAATAGTAGACAAAAAAAAATTACAGCTTTGCTAGTTATGTGATGATGGTTTGAGATGTTCTTATTTTGTCTCTTATGTATTTAAAAAAATAACTCGAAAAAGGCTTCAAACGATTTTTTGGCAATTTT